TGGCCACCCTGCCTCGGTGGGATACGGCCGGCTTGTTGAAAGAAGAATATATATATATATATATATATATATATATATATATATATATATATATATATATATATATATATATATATATATATATATATATATATATATATATATATATATATATATATATATGAGATACATTTCAAGAGGGGAGGGAGGGGGGAGGGGGAGGGGGGAGGGGGAGGGCTCTTGATCCAAGGAAATGAAACAATCTTCCACTTTCCTTGTATCAAATCTGATCACATCCTGTTCCCCAGGGGCTGTACCACTCTCAGGTTTAGCACTCTCCAAATAAATAATAATAATAATAATAAATAATAATATATAAAACGATAAATTGAGTGATGTCTGAGGTTAACGTGGATAATAAATGATAATGGTAAATATTTGCGAATATGAAATCAAGTGTTGATGGAAACTCAACATGTTAAGGAAGCAACAAGAGTGAGAGAAGGAAGTCCACAAAAGTCTTATTTAGGACATCTGATAGGCGAGAAAAGCCGATAACTTTGACATGGGATACAGGCCTTTAATTTCTGGATCCAACAAAGCAGTGCTTAGAGTGACATAGTGTCTAAGTAAAGGCTTGCTTTGAACCTGCTTTTCTAACATATATTGTCAACTCATTATCTACTATCACAGAAAATTTGAAAAATAATATTTCGTTCTTTTTCAAATATACGTTTTTTAGAGGAACAAACAGAAATATATATGTAAAATAAACTAGATTGTGAAAAATAGTAAATAACTATATGGAAGTACTATATAGTTATGCAATATAGAAGTACAAGATAGGAGTACTTTATAGAAGTACCAGGAGGTTAATATGTATATCAAGTATATACATTTATTGTAATGTCTATAGGACAGGTATCAAAGAGTTCGTCTCAATATTGAGAAGTCGACCAGAGAGGACAGAATGGTTCAATAATGGACTGGTAACACGGGGATAGTTAGAAAATCATAGATATGGTATTTTTTCCAACGAAGCGGCCGTATCCCACCTAGGCAAGGTAACCTTAAAAATGAAAAACGAAAGTTTTTTTTTTTTTTAACTTTAGTAATGTATACAGGAGACGGGGTTACTAGCCTCTTGCTCCCGGCATTTTAGTCGCCTCTTACGACACGCATGGCTTACGGAGGAAGAAAGTCATGATAATGTCGACAGTTAATTAGGTACATGGACGGATTAGTAACCCTTGGTGTGCTTTATTGGGAGCAACGTTTTGCTCTCCAGGAGCTTTGTAAAGCTTCAGTGTACATAACAGAGTGAGGACTAGTGTAGCGGAAAGGTGAGGTAGGAAGGCGAGGTCACAGAGTTTTCAAGTACAGTTGTACAGGTAAACCAGAGAATAATAATTAGAAAAATACAGTGATTCGTAAATTTATCAGTTGAGGACTGTGTTGTGGGGCTTCAGAACAGTTCTTGACAATGCTTCAGAAATATTAAAGTTGATGTTGTTTTGGAGTTACAGTACCGGAAAAGAAAAACGATGAGGGCTGCTTCTCAACATTTCCCCTTGTGGAGATCTCTCTGATTACTAATCTCTTATCATCCCAAAACAACACGTGTGATTCATTACACTTCTCACTGTCACTTCATGAAGTAGAATGATGGGAGCTTAGTAATGGAAAGATCTACCCAGGAGGGAGTGTATAGACGCAGATCTCATTGTTTCCCAATCAGTTTCCCAAAACAGGGGCAATTTTGACGCGTCTGGAGTGTTGTTAAGAAGTGTGCTGCGGCCCCACAACACAACCTTCACCTTATAACTAATGTTAGGTAAGGAAAAGTAATAACAGAGGAATATATTAGAAAGTACAGATCAACTTATATTTTGTCACTGGACGTCCAACACCAAGGTAAGTTGACCCCTAAAAATAAACGAAACACATACACCATCATTCACACGATCGCTGTCTTTGGCGCAAGTGTGCTGATATTACTCAAAATTATGTCAGTTAATTTACGTCAGAAGAGAATTCTGTGAGGCAGAGCAGAGAGCTATGGCTCAACCCCCCACTAAACCAAACAGGCAACACAGACACATACCACCTAAAAATTGTATTTTGTTCTGGTAAATATATTAGTCTATCCCTAAACACATCTTGATAATCGTGACTGAAAGTATTGAGGAAAAGACGAGGAGAAAAAAAATATAATGTATACGAAAAATGATTTATATTTTTAGTGATTTTTCACATTCCGTGACATTTTAATACCAAAAATTCCGCTTTCAAATGTTAGGTTGAAGTTTTACACACACACACACACACACACACACACACACACACACACACACACACACACACACACATACACACAGCCAGTAAGAACTATTCTGTTATGCCCGACACTATGTACTTCCTTAACAACTTTCTATCTACTGGACCATTCACTAGAGCAACGAATGCGGCAAAACTCACTCTCAAACGAGAGTGAAAGGCAACAAACAAGCTCAGTGCAGCAGCAAGCAAAACAAATGACAATGATCTAATGCTACTCAGGAATAAATACACAAGAAAATAAAGGTCAGTGAGGGTCTTAAAGACCTGATGTAAACACCTGTATATATATATATATATATATATATATATATATATATATATATATATATATATATATATATATATATATATATATTTATATATATATGTCGTGCCGAATAGGCAGAACTTGCGATCTTGGCTTAAATAGCAACGCTCATCTTGCCATATAGGACAAGTGAAAATTTGTGTATGCAATAATTTCGCCAAAATCATTCTGAACCTAACGAAAAAAATATATTTCACTGTGTTTGTTTAGTATTAAATTATTGTAAACAAATCTAAAATATATTTAGTTGGGTTAGGCTAAAATAAATTGTTCTTGTTATAATAAGGTTAGGTAAGTTTTCTAAGATTCTTTTGGTGCAAAATTATAAATTTTTACCTCAGCATTAATGAAATTTTTTTATCTTTAAACGTGTAAGAGAAAATTTTAGAAAGGGCTTAATTTTAAATGAGTTCTTGCTAATTGACCAGTTTTACATATTCGGCACGACATTATATATATATATATATATATATATATATAATATATATATATATATATATATATATATATATATATATATATTATATATATAAATATATATACATAGAGGAGCGGAAGAAATAGGAATAGAGGAAGGATGTGATGAACAGAGAGATGAGTGGTGGTGTAAGGTTGTGACGGCACTGGTTGTAACAGGAATGATGGTTGTAACAGCAGTGGTTATAACAGTAGTGGTTACAACAGCAGTAATTATAACAGCAGTGGTTATAACAGTAGTGGTTACAACAGCAGTGATTATAACAGCAGTGGTTATAACTGCAGAGGTTATAAGAGCATTGGTTGTGACGGAAACGGTCACAACACCACCACCGTTACAATAACACCACCGTCACAGTAACGCCACCGTCGCAGTTACACCACCGTCACAGTAATAACACCGTCACAATAACAACACCGTCACAATAACACCAATGATACAGATTTGTTAACATGGCCAGAAAAAGGCTCTTTGAAGCGTTGACATTTGACGTGTGGCTGGACCCTCATTATTGTCATAGATCAGTGGTCCACCAGCCTATTGTTGCACGCACGGGACCTTTGCATCAGAGGAAAGTTATTTCCAGCTCTAAGACAAAGTTAGAGCTTGGGGGGATGGGGGAAGCTCCACCGCCCTCAACAATACCCTCTGTTGCACAGGACCCCCACCTACACAAGGTGACACCAACTGCCAACACCAACAGGCTGATTAGCGTTTAGTGGGGGTAAAGGATCGAGTCTCCACCACTCATTGCCAGGGACCCACACGGGTTTAGCTGCTTCATGAGATAAATCACAATCCACAGTATCTATGGCATCATATTGTTAGTATTTCATTATAATAATTATTATTATTATTAATTATTATAAATTATCATTATATACTATCATAAATTATCATTATAAATTATCATTATAAATTATTATTAATCTTTTTATTCGTGAGAAAGTGCCAAGGGTCGTACATAACTACGGGATAATCAGAGAATTGATTGGTAGCTCCAGTTCCCTGGATTGAGAGCTCTTCAGTGATATGAAGACACTTGGAAGGGCAAGAGTGAAGGCCCTTCCCTCTGCAGGACGCTACTGAACTGTCACTTCACATCTGACTACGAGTCACCCTTCACCTGTCCGCAGGGGAGGCGCTAGCGTCCACCTTTTTTCTCCTGGTAGGCGACAAACATGCACGAGCACACACACTCATAGTCGCACTCTCCCCCAGTGCACTCGCGCCCTCAGGCCACACACACTAACCTCGGGTTATTCGACGTCTCGACCTAGAGCCGGAGGGACGTGCAACCCGGCGGGTCACGGTGTCATTGTATCGCTACCTGTGGTGGTGACAGCTGTGGTGTCTCCTGCTGGACTCCGTAATCTCGCGTCTACACTCTAGTTACCGGTGTCAGGTGTGGGGGACGTCTGTTGCTGTACTCTGTACCATCACTTCCTTACTCTAGTTACCAGTGTCAGGTGTGGGGGACGTCTGTTGCTGTACTCTATACCCTCACGTCCTTACTCTAGTTACCAGTGTCAGATGTGGGGACTTGTGTTGCTGTAACTCTTAGTCTCACGTTCACACCTGTCTAGTTACTTGAGAAAGTCTGCACCAAAGGTGAAAGTGACAGGCAATCACAGTTAACTAAAATCATATCTTTTATCGCGTTGATAATTACATCAGATAGCGTGTTCAGATTTTTGTCTGTGTGGGATCTCGTAACGCAGTGAGAGGCTACCAAAATAGCTACATTACAAGAAAGTGCATTCAACATGGACTTGTGTATGTGTATACTTTAGTATGTGGTATAAACCTTGGTGTCTTTCTAAACCATACTTTAGTGTGTAAACAAAACTGTACTTCTAAAGACGGACTGACGAGATACTTCTCTTTCTTCCGCAGAAGCTGTAAGACGTGAAGACCCAGTTATATCACAGCGAGTTAAGTACTTCGTCGGCGTCTCCGCCCTCGCCGTTTGGACGAGGGTTACTTTTCCTTGTGTGCTCCGTGAAGATGCAGTCAACACCAACAGGAAGCTTCACCGTCTATCCTAGGGCTCCCGTCTCTGTGGTGCCTCCCTCACTTCTCACCTACCAGATGCTGGCGTCACAGCCTCCTCGTGACCCAGCGCCTCAGTATCCTCTGCTGCACTCCTCCTTCTTCCTCCCCATACACCACAGTCGCAGTCCAATCTTCTCCCCTCAATCCCCGAAGGAGGGAGAAGATATCAAGCCACACATGGCGCTCTACACCCCTTCAAGATTGGAGGGGGAGATGTGTAGCTCCACCAAGAGCTCTCCAGCATCGTCTCCACAACTTGCCTCGCCGCCACCAACACATACCTCTCTCAGAGTCACTGCCGTCATTAACACAGCAGATGGAAACTCACATACACATTTTGAAACAGCCGAAGCAGACAGAAGTTCAGTGAGTGACCACAACAAGAAGGAACTCCCACTTGACCTCACCACAAAGAGGAGGTCAGAGGGCTTCGAAAGAAGCATCACAACGAGAGAAGCGATAAACGAGGAAGTCATCGTAAACGACAAGGCTTGTTTACCAGACAGACACGACGATACAAAGTCTGAGGGGGTAACAAGACCACGTCGTCCACGCCAGGATCATCCGTTTCTCAGAATAAGTGACTTACTAAAAGACTCTCCTTCGAGCAGCCCTGCCCCGATCCCTCCCCAGCCCCCCAGAGAGACACCTGTTAAGCTGCCGCTAGTGTACCCTCGACCCCTGCACCCCGCCGCTATACTAGACATGTACCGTACTCTAGATCGCTCTGCTTTTATGACTGGGAACTGCATGCCCACAGCCCGGTACCCGTTGTTTACATCCCTCTTCCCACACACCAGCCTCCCTCCAGTGACTATGGCGCCTGCACCTCGCACAGTCGGACTTGAGTTTTTCAAGACTCACCTACCTGGGGCAGCACGATCTTACAGCGACCTCCCAAGACCTTACACTGACCTACTGACTCCCCAAGTAATCCGCACAGCCAAGGATCGATACACTTGTAAGTTCTGCGGGAAAGTGTTCCCGCGGTCGGCCAATTTGACCCGTCACCTGCGGACTCACACAGGTGAGCAGCCCTACAAGTGTAAGTACTGCGAGCGTTCCTTCAGCATCTCGTCCAACTTGCAGCGTCATGTGCGTAATATACACAACAAGGAGAAGCCCTTCAAGTGTCCGCTGTGTGACCGCTGCTTCGGCCAGCAGACCAACCTCGACCGACACCTCAAGAAACATGAAGAAGAGGGTCTTAATCCCCCGGACTCCCCCGAAGCGCCAGATTCCAGCAGCTCCTCCATTACCGTTGAGACTATCAGCGACATTGATGTCGGGGACAACAGAGTCGAAAGCGCCAGTGAGGAGCACACGAAGGAGGAAATAATCACCTTGACGACGCCTCTTCCTGCCGACGTCAGCGACACTGAAAGAAGAATTACAGAGACAGACGACGCCAAAGACTCCGCGACAGCGGTAGTAAATGAACCCACTCATAAACGCCTTAGATTAGAATAGCACAATATTTTAGAGCGCCTTTATATCCCGTGTTGATCAGAGCAAGGGTAACCAGTGCTGTCACCTTCGTATCATATGTGTTATTTAAATTTCCGATAAAAGCAGAGAAAAACTGCATTGCGATCATCCTGTAAGAGAAGTGATAAAGGTTCTCCCAACTCAAACTTGTACAGGACCACAAAGTAATCTAGTCAACTCTTGTACCTCACCAAAGACTTCCTCGCTTCTCAGAGGCGATGTTCGCAACTTGAGGCAGGTTAAGTGCCTCTTGAACCTCATAGGAACCTTACTTGGTGTTTCACACACATTGTTAATGACGACATGAACACGTGATATCAATGTTACCAACACTGCCTTGATATACAGACAGGCCCCATTTCTACAGCCAGTTAAATTCTGGGCTACTGTAGGGCCCCGCTCATACAGCAGCTTAGGTTCCAGGCTACTGTAGGGCCCCACTTATACAACAGGTTAGGTTTGCTTTACAGCTACTGCTGTAAAGCGAAAATTGGTGTAAAGCAAATCAGTCTTTTCTTCACTTTCAAATACATATAAAAGCCTGATAGCATATTTACACTATCAAAGATTAAATGAGCAATAAAGCTAGGCCTAAAAAATGCATGTACAGTACACACATTACTTGCCATAAAATATTTTCTTCCTTATCTTATAGTGAATGAATATATTTTTTGTAGGAAGTCTGAATAAATGAAGAATGAGCATAATTGAAAACCGCTGCATTAGCGAAACGCCGTAAAACGAAGCGCTGTAAAGCGAGACCTGCCTGTATATCAAAACAATAACTGTATCTAAAAGGATATATCTTTCCCCTACAAGTCTTTCTTGTACAACAAGTTGTACAAAAAATATTCAGGTACACTGAGAAACGAAGTTCTTAACAAGCCGGGTACAACATAACGAACATTTATGTAAAACATTGTAAACACATCTACCTGAGGAAATGTTTTATTTTTAAATGAAGATAGTTGTAAAAAACACAAAAAACATTGAATTGTACATATTATTTTAAGTATGAAGAAATAAAATTTCTAGAATATGTATATTTTATTATTCCTATCTCTCTCTCTCTCTCTCTCTCTCTCTCTATATATATATATATATATATATATATATATATATATATATATATATATATATATATATATATTTCTCTCACCCGTCAGTGGAAGAAAAAATGATGGTCCAGCCTGGTTTAGCGCCTGTCATTGAATCTACTACTGCTACTACTGTTAATAATAATAATAATAATAATAATAATAATAATAATAATAATAAATGGCAAGATTTGTGTGGTCATCAACAGTGCCACGATTGCACGTGCAAAGAAAATGATAGGATGGATAATGAGAACTTTCAAAACGAGAGATGCCAAGCCCATGATCCTTTTCAAATCACTTGTTCTCTCTAGGCTGGAATACTGCTGTACATTAACATCTCCATACAAAGCAGGTGAAATCGCAGATCTAGAGAGTGTACAGAGATCCTTTACTGCACGTATAAGTTCTGTCAAGCACCTTAACTACTGGGAACGCTTGGAAGCACTTGACTTGTACTCGTTGGAACGCAGGATGAAGAGATATATCATAATCTACACTTGGAAAATCTTGGAAGGAATGGTCCCAAATCTGCACACAGAAATCACTCCCTACGAAAGTAAAAGACTGGGCAGGCGATGCAAAATGCCGCCAATAAAAAGTAGGGGCGCCATTGGTACACTAAGAGAAAACACCATAAGTGTCCGGGGCCCAAAACTGTTCAACAGCCTCCCATCAAGCATTAGGGGAATTACCAATAAACCCCTGGCCGCCTTCAAGAGAGAGCTGGACAGATACCTAAAGTCAGTGCCGGATCAGCCGGGCTGTGGCTCGTACGTTGGACTACGTGCGGCCAGCAGTAACAGCCTAGTTGATCAGGCCCTGATCCATCGGGAGGCCTGGTCATGGACCGGGCCGCGGGGGCGTTGATCCCCGGAATAACCTCCAGGTAACCTCCAGGTAATCTCCTCAGTTTTTCATGACACATTACAATGCATGAATAATGTGTCTCTCATCACGTCAGATGAAATTAATATATTGTCAATCGTTTTAGTGTAAATAATTTCAGTGTAACTAACTCATTATTTTGTCATTATTTTAATGATAATTTATTAAAGTTGTCTTAAAGAGAAATGTAATCATTGTATAAATATTTAATGGTAAATAAAATACAGAATACTGTGGCTGGAACATTTCACCCATACCTAGAAGAGGAAACTCACCGTTTCGCTCATGGTGGACCCTTATCAGTCTTCACTCGATAATAATCCGATGAGTAGCGAAGCGTCTCAAGTTTTGTCTCTAAGGGTTATTTGTGACCCAGTTAAGCAAAAAAAAAAAATTAAAGATCATAATTAGATTAAGAGTTTACACGTGAGAAAAAGTATAGGTCTATAGATAAGGTCTATAGGGTAGGTTAGGCTGGTTAATGACTACACGAGGGCCATTAAGACTGTGTTATCACCTGTACACCACTAGTCAAGAAATTGTAAAAAAGGTTTACAGCAAATTCTTGATGACAGATATATACTTTTCTTGGTGTATATATGAACTCCGAGGTATACTTTTCTTGGTGTGTATATGAACTCCGAGGTATACTTTTCTTGGTGTGTATATGAACTCCGAGGTATACTCGTTTTTGTATTTTTGACACCTCATAGCCCGCAAACAAAAGGATATGGGGTAGATTCTGACATGAAGTAGAGCATCTACTTGGAGTCTACCTGGAGACCTGGAGTCTACATGGAGACCTAGAGTCTACGTGGAGTGTCTAATTCTTCATCTACCTGGAGTTTACTTGGAGTCCTGGAGTCTACATGGAATGTCTAATTCTTTATCCACCTGGAGATCTAAAAACCTGGAGTCTACCTGGAGTGTATAATTCTTCATCTACCTGGAGTCCTGGAGACCTAGACTCAACCTGGAGAGTGTTCTGAGGGTCTTGTTACCTAACAGTAAATAGCTACCTGTGTGTACCTGTGTGACTGTTGTGGGTCTCTTCATGGAGACAGACTTAAATAAACCTCTGATTTAAATAAACTTCAATCTGCTGGCTATTTGCTTCATTAGAATTAAAGTCTATCAACAACAGAAAAGGCTAGTAAAGCTAGATGTCCCTTGTACACCTCTAAGTGTAGGTATACTTAGATGCACACCCCCTCCAAGTATATAATCATCGCTGCTCTCAGTGTATGCACATCTAGAGAGATATACTGAGCCAGAATATATACAATGTGAAGGGTTTCTAAGCTGCATGCAACTTAGTGACCACCAGACAAGGATATTTGAATTCATTTAAGTGAGTTACACACACAAGTCGACGTTTTCTCTCGTCAACTTTACCCGGAAGGGGCACTGAAATTTAATAAATTGTCTCTATTTATTGAACATGAAAACATTTTAGACCATTTTTATTTATTTCGCTCACGAAAAAATGCAGTAGTGAAGACGTGTGCACAGTTCCCTAAGAATAGGCTTCTGCGAAATAAATACAGTCATTTGTGAATGCGGTTTTGTTTACGTTTGGGAGGTGACAAGAGACCGGCGTGAGAAGGAAGTGCGAGAGAAATGGAAATGTTTCCTCTTCTTAGGTATCTAAATGCTACGAGGGAAACGTTGGTAAGTGTGAAAGGACTGGCTGAAGCAAAGACGAGGCGAGACGTGTGTGGGAAGACTAACAACAACTGCTGATAACGATTCTCACCCAGCAGTAATGTATCTAGTCGAATGTTGTGGGTAATAAGATAAGATAAGATAAGATTTCGTTCGGATTTTTAACCCCGGAGGGTTAGCCACCCAGGATAACCCAAGAAAGTCAGTGCGTCATCGAGGACTGTCTAACTTATTTCCATTGGGGTCCTTAATCTTGTCCCCCAGGATGCGACCCACACCAGTCGACTAACACCCAGGTACCTATTTGCTGCTAGGTGAACAGGACAACAGGTGTAAGGAAACGTGTCGAAATGTTTCCACCCGCCGGGAATCGAACCCGGGCCCCCCGTGTGTGAAGCGGGAGCTTTAGCCACCAGGCCACCGGACCAAAGTAAAGTATAAGTAAGTAAAGTAAGTAACTAACTTTTGGCTCAGGTACACATAAATGTAATTATCCAGGACCCCCAGTGGAAATAATTCACTTTGACTTTTGTGGGTTATCCTAGTTAATTTACACTATAATAATTGTACTTATGTGTACCTGTACCTTAATAAACTTACTTAATCATAGTGTAAATTACCTAGGATAACCCGAAAAGGACCGGCTGCTTCCAGTGGAAATAAGCCACACTGGCTTTCTTGGATTACCCTGGATTATTATTAACCGAGATGGCATTTCACACCCGTTGTGAGTAGATTAGCGAAGAGATTAACATTTTATCACAGTAAATAGCGAATATATTTCAGCATTTCAGCGATGAATGACCCCAATGCCTTCACTGCTTTTTCAAGCATGGAATAAAACACAGAGAGAACAATAAGAGGAGAGAAGTACAGGAATGTAAACTATAATACAAGATATGTCAAGAAACAGTTACATGTGGCTTAGAATATAAGTTACATTGAGTGGATCAGAAAAAAAAGGTGCATAGTTACGTATCTATTACGGAAAATGCCACTATGAATACTAGGAACGTTCATTTAATTATAATACTGAATACTGCGGGAACGAGAGTGAAAACTGATAGAAAGAGAAAACTGCTGGAAAAAGAAAACTGCTGGAACGAGAAAACTGCTGGAACGAGAAAACTGCTGGAACGAGAAAATTGCTGGAACGAGAAAACTGCTGGAACGAGAAAACTGCTGGAACGAGAAAACTGCTGGAACGAGAGTGAAAACTACTGCAGAGTGAAAACTGGGGAAACATTCAAGCTGCTTGCCCCTCAAGGAAGGTTCCTTGATGTTGGTGAGGGGCTCTTGATTTAGGGAATTGGATCTGTGCTCCAGTTCCCCAAATTAAGCCTGAATGCCTTCCACATCCCCCCCCCAGGTGCTGTATAATCCTCCGGGTTTAGCGCTTCCCCCTTGATTATAATAATAATAATAATAATTCAAGCTGCTTGAACGGGAACCTCTGGAACAGGACACAGAGCTGCTGTGACTTGGCACAGCTTCCAACAGGTTTATAACGGTAATGTTGCCCATGACAACAGCATTGATTTAAAATCCACTGAAGAATAAGGTCGGCCATCAATGTCCCATGAGTGAGAGGATGCAAGACAATACACTATCAGATAAGCTGAGGCCTGCTGGCATTCTGAAGTGCCCTCGGAGTGCCAGTCATCACAGGTGGTATCTGGCTAGAGAATTATTACTGAAGGTGGCGTCAGCCAACAGAATGTGTAATCAGGATTGTCGGAAATACTTCAGACAAGGAACTGCTTAAGTATCAGTGTCACACTGCCGACACTGATGTCAAGACAATGCAAAACAGCTTTTATTGAGGACAACGCTTCACTCAGGGCGAAACATTGTCCCAGTAAAAGGTTGTTTTGAAACACGTTTTCCTCAAGGAACTGGTTGTTTGTGGTGTAAATATTCCAGACAAGGAACAAACTGCTGTCACACTATTATTTTCTTGTTCTGCTCTTCGTATAATAGAAACATGCAGGTCTCAGCTCCATAGTTGTAAGAATAGACAGCTCACAAAGTGGAGAGGAAACTTTATGGACATTTCAGTTCTTTGTTGACCCTTATCTGGCGTGTTCAGTAAGGTAGGAGAAGGACCAAAATCTCGTCCAAGGTTTCGTTTCAGATTTGTGTTTCTTGTATATTATAGATTGAGGAAGCTTTTGCCTCGTATCTTTTCTCAATGTTTGTTGTGTGTGTGTGTGTGTGTGTGTGTGTGTGTGTGTGTGTGTGTGTGTGTGTGTGTGTGTGTGTTTGTGTGTGTGTGTGTGTCCTAACAATGCATGGGTTCCTGCAGGAGTCGCAGCCAGCCAGGCTCCATGTGGTACTGGGGAACGAGGCATGTGATCTGGATTCCGCCGTCAGCGCCCTCGTCTACGCTTTTCTACTGTACTCCCTACGAAAGGTAGATACATGGTGGGCACGGTAGGGGATCCGGAGGATGGTTATGCATTGGTATACTGTGGCGACGTTGTGTAAATAAAACACACAATGGTGGGTTATGGTATTTTATTGCAAGGATGATCATTCACCTGGGACGATGACGTTTTCACAATAAAATGCCGTAACCCACATTGTGTGTTTTATTTACACGATTCAGAGGATGGTTGGTGATAGTGGTGGGTGTGGTAGGGGATCCATGGAATGGTTGGTGATAGTGGTGGGTGTGGTAGGGGATCCATGGAATGGTTGGTGATAGTGGTGGGTGTGGTAGGGATCCATGGGATGGTTGGTGATAGTGGTGGGTGCGGTAGGGGATCCATGGAATGGTTGGTGATAGTGGTGGGTGTGGTAGGTGATCCATGAAATGGTTGGTGATAGTGGTGGGTGTGGTAGGGGATCCATGGAATGGTTGGTGATAGTGGTGGGTGTGGTAGGGGATCCATGGGATGGTTGGTGATAGTGGTGGGTGTGGTAGGGGATCCATGGAATGGTTGGTGATAGTGGTGGGTGTGGTAGGGGATCCATGGGATGGTTGGTGATAGTGGTGGGTGTGGTAGGGATCCATGGGATGGTTGGTGATAGTGGTGGGTGTGGTAGGGGATCCATGGGATGGTTGGTGATAGTGGTGGGTGTGGTAGGGGATCCATGGGATGGTGATAGTGGTGGGTGTGGTAGGGGATCCATGGAATGGTTGGTGATAGTGGTGGGTGTGGTAGGGGATCCATGGGATGGTTGGTGATAGTGGTGGGTGTGGTAGGGGATCCATGGGATGGTTGGTGATAGTGGTGGGTGTGGTAGGGATCCATGGGATGGTTGGTGATAGTGGTGGGTGCGGTAGGGGATCCATGGAATGGTTGGTGATAGTGGTGGGTGTGGTAGGTGATCCATGAAATGGTTGGTGATAGTGGTGGGTGTGGTAGGGGATCCATGGAATGGTTGGTGATAGTGGTGGGTGTGGTAGGGAATCCATGGGATGGTTGGTGATAGTGGTGGGTGTGGTAGGGGATTCAGGGGATGGTTGGTGATAGTGGTGGGTATGGTAGTGAATCCATGGGATGGTTGGTGATAGTGGTGGGTGTGGTAGGGGATCCATGGGATGGTTGGTGATAGTGGTGGGTGTGGTAGGGGATCCATGGGATGGTTGGTGATAGTGGTGGGTGTAGTAGGGGATCCATGGGATGGTTGGTGATAGTGGTGGGTGTAGTAGGGGATCCATGGGATTGTTGGTGATAGTGGTGGGTGTGGTAGGTGATCCAGGGGATGGTTGGTGATAGTGGTGGGTATGGTAGGGGATCCATGGAATGGTTGGTGATAGTGGTGGGTGTGGTAGTGAATCCATGGGATGGTTGGTGATAGTGGTGGGTGTGGTAGGGGATCCAGGGGATGGTTGGTGATAGTGGTGGGTGTGGTAGGGGATCCATGGGATTGTGCTAGTTGTAGGTATGGTAGATTCATAGGAAACTGGTGGTGGGTAGTGTGGTAGGTGGTCCTGGTGATAATGGTGGACATCATAAGTAATCCAGAGGATGGTGAGTGCTGAAATAGTAACATTCTCATTATAACCATGATAAATAATGATCTAAAACCCCGAATTAATAACGTTGTATTTTAACTCTTACTGTAATTACCCACGAATACAATAAAAGAGATAAATATTTTTATCAATAAGCATTTTACACCTTATCAGTGTAAATGAAGTTTTAGTGCATTTATATATATATATATATATATATATATATATATATATATATATATATATATATATATATATATTATATATTATATTATATATATATATATATAGTGTTATGTAACGATGTACATGTTCTTGAGTAGGACTCGACAGAGGTGGTACTTCCGGTTCTTAACATTCCGAGGAGAGACTACCCACTGAAAACTGAGGTGGTGTTCTGGCTGGAGAAACACAACATCCTCCCAGAGATGCTCTTCTTCAGGTAGGTCTTTATGTGGTTCATGTGAGTTAAGTTCATCATTATTATTAACGCAACTTTTACATCTTATTTTATTCCTGCCGTGGTGTTTGGTGCTTCAGGGATGAGGTGGACCTTCAGCACCAACGGGAGACTGGAGAACTACAACTTACCCTTGTAGACCATCACCAGCTGGCGCCCTCTGACTCCTTCCTCGACGCCTCTGTAGTGTTTATCCTTGACCACCGGAAACTGGAGCGTCACCCTCAGTCTGGTGAGTGTGTGCAGCTCAGTCTGGTGCTTGAAGACTCGCTACAGTAATGGGGAACGGAGTTGATGGGTAAGAGAGGTAATTTATATATAGGATTTCTTGCGATGGAGGTGAGTTATGTGATGATTTCTTTGATGAGTCAAGTCCTTGACTGTGATCACTTGATGAGTCAAATCCTTGATTTTTATCAGTTGATGAGTTAAGTCCTTGACTGTGATCCCTTGATGAGTTGAGTCGCTAATAACAAAAAAGTACATACTGGAGTTCCATCTTTGATTCGAGTCACGAAGATTAGGCAGAATCTATCGGGAAGATCAGTGACTATTAATTCACCTGTTTCTGCAGTTAAATTTCTACCCATTTCTCGACATTTCCCTTTCCTCGTACGTTGGCAGTTCCAGGGGGCATAGTGGTGGAGATGGTCGGGTCGTGCTGTACACTAGTGACTGAACAAGTGTTGGCCAGGAACCCCGCCTTGCTGGACTCCGTCACTGCTAGCCTGCTCTACGGTATGTTCCACAAGTCTATCCTCACCTGCTTAGCTCTTTCCTGTGAATATGAGTTATAATTCTGAGCGTATTGATCATGGTTCTTGAGATTGTGTTTGGGATCTGTGTTCCGTGGTGCTCACGGTGTTATTTTTTTTCTCTTGCTGCTCCATTTCCACCTCAGGTACCATCATTCTGGACACAGTTAACCTGAATGAGGCGGCCAAGAGAGTCACACCCAAGGATGTTGACATGATAGGTCGTCTACAACCTCTCCTTTCGTCTTCCATAAATAGGTGAAGCTCGTCATTGTATGGTTATCAGTACTGAGCTCACGGTTTTCATATACAACATGAAGGATGGGGTGGTAGGGGAAGTGGAATATCTTAACTACTTGTGTTACTCTGCTACCACTCACAGAGCTGTGTGTACCAGTGATACACACATTCCATTAATATATTATTATTATTATTATTATTATTATTATTATTATTATTATTATTTCATAAGACCATTTTTTTATGTTTCGTGTCTGTTACTGAAGTCTTCAGTTCAGTGTTTTTCTCGTGTCAGATCTGAGATCTTCCAGCAGCTGACGAATGCCAAGGCCAATGTCTCTGGTCTGACCTCTGACCAGCTGTTGAGGAAGGACGTGAAGGTCACTTCAGCAGGTGACCTCAAGGTTGGAGTAGCCTCTGTGCCCATGATGGTCAAGGTCAGTATGTTTTACACACACTCAAGTACACCCGCAGTGTCTTGTTACCATATTCTGCATGATGGTTACATTGTGGGGACGAAAGTATGCAACCCATTGCATTGGATGGGTTGCATGCTCGGGGTAATGAAATATAGGTAATAGGTAATGGGTGGAGGTTGTAAGTAGCTGGTGGGTGACAAGAGGATAATTCATGATGACTGTATTGGATAGTGTGTAACTCATGGTGTAGTGGATAGTTTTAATTATGGTACACCAATATAACCTAAGTACTATATGTCTTTAGTAAACCCACGTGAACATTCTATTACTCATAGATTTACGGATTTGCCATTTTTAATAATAATAATAATAATAATAACAGATCGCTATTATTTATTTCCAGGAATACCTGCAGCGGCCGGAGGTGGGTGAGACACTGTCAGAGCACTGCAGCAGTGAAGACTACAGTGTCCTGGTCATCATGGGTATCAGCATCACTGGGGAGGTTGTCCACAGAGATATTGCAATATATTCTCCCCAAGACCACCTTAGAAACCAGGTGAGTTATCAGGTGTAAAATCTCTGAAAATCAAGGATATTTGTAGATTACGAGAGGTGTGCGAGACGGGTGTACTATATATACTACAGTGTATTTATTGCATAGTGGATGTCTGAATATTTTGGCTGTTTAAAAATGTGGGGGATTGTGACTGTCTTTCACACACTCAGATGACAGATGCTGTACTTTTATCAAGGGTGATGGAGTGATCACATCGACTCCAGGCTGAGGGACTGATTACCTCAAACTCCTTCTAATCTTCCACCATTCATCTTTGTATTAAACTGAAGAAGTCATTGGCTGGCAAAACGTTATGTAACATCAAGTTCAAAATCTTGAAAAATAATTCTGTTTTTTCTCTTTGTGATTCAGCTGGTAGTGTACCTGCGCGACGCCCAAGGTGAGGTGCTGCAGCTGCTGCCGTTTGACAGTGACATTGTGGGATGTTCAGCCTTCCTCCAGCGCAACATAGCCGCTTCCAGGAAGGTTGTGCTTCCCCTCATCAAGGAGTGGCTAGCCAAGGAGAACTTTTGATTAGATGGTCACCAGGATGCCCCCGACTGACCTATTGGCAACTGGAAGATCATTCCGGAGTGGCTAGCCAAGGAGAACCTTTGATTAGATGGTCGTCAGGATGCCCCCGACTGGCCTATTGACAACTGGAAGATCATTCCGGGGAAAAATCTTTTGACTAGCTGACCATTACTGTTCTCCGAGTGGAAAGATGATGAAAAATTAGACAAGTGCAACATCTGGTTATCTTTATTTGTAGACCTTTCATGTACAGTCTGATGGATGGATTTGAGAGGGATCTATCCTCTCAATGACTGTATTTTTTTGTCGGAATAAAGATACCCATGTCCTACTTATCAAGCACATTTTCTCACCGGGACTTGAGAACCTGAGATTAGATGGATAAAAGTCACATGAAAGCAATTAAGAAAATGCCTTGGGGTCTGAAGAATAAATCACAATCCTGAAAACTGAAAGTCATTGAAAATGACCTAAGTGTGTGAGCTGATGGAATTTTAAATAAAAAAAAACATAGAATGACCAGAAATGTGGATGGACACTACGAACCGACATTTTTTATATATATATATATTATATATATATATATATATATATATATATATATATATATATATATATATATATATATATAAAATATATATATATATATATATATATATATATATATATATATATATATATATATATATATATATATATATATATATATATATATATACACACAAATAACCCGCACATAGAAGAGAGGAGCTTACGACGACGTTTCGGTCCGACTTGGACCATTTACAAAGTCAAACTAACCAGAAGTGGAGCAGGACGGGCATATATAGGCAGGAAGAGGTAGTGGTGGTAGTAGTAGTAGTAGTAGTGGTAGCAGTATATATATATATATATATATATATATATATATATATATATATATATATATATATATATATCGAGAGGTGTCTCTCTCAGTGTTCTGTATATACAATGAGAGTGTAATTCTTATTTTATGTATTAAATTATTCTTGACTGGTGATGTACAGGTTACAGCAGCCCTAGTGACCTCTCATGTAATCGACATGTTTTAAACCCAATAAACCGACTGGATTACCACTAAGTACTACAGAATTTTCAAGAGATGACTAGATTACTATCACGGACGGTCACAAGATCTGCTAGATAACTAGGTTACTACCACGGACGGTCACAAGATCTGCTAGATAACTAGGTTACTACCACGGACGGTCACAAGATCTGCTAGATAACTAGGTTACTACCACGGACGGTCACAAGATCTGCTACATAACTAGGTTACTACCACGGACGGTCACAAGATCTGCTAGATAACTAGGTTACTACCACGGACGGTCACAAGATCTGCTAGATAACTAGGTTACTACCACGGACGGTCACAAGATCTGCTAGATAACTAGGTTACTACCACGGACGGTCACAAGATCTGCTAGATAACTAGGTTACTACCACGGACGGTCACAAGAACTGTGTTCAAGAATTTCACTGTGAAGGTCGTAGCCATTAAGCTCAAGGTAGTACCGACAACTGCTAGTGATGTTTAATGATATGCAACACCTGGGCAATACCTGAGTATATTACCGAAACGTTTCGCCCCACACAAGCTCTTTACTCGAATACAAGTGAATATAACACTGGAGATAATAGAAGTGTCCTATCAAGGCTGACGGACTGACAATGTCCTATCAAGGCTGACGGACTGACAATGTCCTAGCAAGGCTGAGTGACTGACAATGTCCTAGCAAGGCTGAGTGACTGACAATGTCCTAGCAAGGCTGAGTGACTGACAATGTCCTAGCAAGGCTGAGTGACTGACAATATCCTAGCAAGGCTGAGTGACTGACAATGTCCTAGCAAGGCTGAGTGACTGACAATGTCCTAGCAAGGCTGAGTGACTGACAATATCCTAGCAAGGCTGAGTGACTGACAATGTCCTAGCAAGGCTGAGTGACTGACAATGTCCTAGCAAGGCTGAGTGACTGACAATGTCCTAGCAAGGCTGAGTGACTGACAATGTCCTAGCAAGGCTGAGTGACTGACAATGTCCTAGCAAGGCTGAGTGATTGACAATGTCCTAGCAAGGCTGAGTGACTGACAATGTCCTAGCAAGGCTGAGTGACTGACAATGTCCTAGCAAGGCTGAGTGACTGACAATGTCCTAGCAAGGCTGAGTGACTGACAATGTCCTAGCAAGGCTGAGTGACTGACAATGTCCTAGCAAGGCTGAGGGACTGACAATATCCTAGCAAGGCTGACGGACTGACAACGTCCTTTCAAGGCTGACCACATCTTATATTCGCCAGTATTCGACTGAAGTCTTTTGTGTGGGCGAAACGTGTCATGAATAAAGACGCCCCAGTGATCCACAAGTGTCAACACAACTTGCAATATCCGACCAATTTTCATTTTTTTTTTTTTCAATTTAAATTTCTGTATTCAATTTCAGACAAATTTTTAATACGAAATTTAGCTATTTATAGATTTAAAATTTTTATTTGATAATAATAATAATAATAATAATAATAATAATAATAATAATAATAATATTAATAATAATAATAATAATAATAATAATTTTGGATTATTTTCTTTTGGGAGACTCCACGATGGTGTGATCCGAGGAAGGGGAGAGCTGGCCTTCCCCTTCCTTGGAGCAAACCTGGTTTGCCTTCCGGTTTTCCCAGATGACTCATGGCCCCTTTGGGTTTAGCGCTTCCCACTGAATTAATCGGAGAGGGTATTGTGGCGTTGAATGACCCATGCAGGTTTAGCGTTTTTTTGTGAATATAACTGAATGACCCATACGAGTTTTTTTTATTTTTTTTAATAAGTGAATATATTGAAGGGAGCCATGATCACAATACTAAAGATACATTAATTTTTTTACGAATTAACGTGGTTTTATACATTTGGAAATTCTCGCTATAGTTAATATTGTGTGTACTCGCCTATTTGTGGTTGCAGGGGTCAAATCACAGCTCCTGGACCCGCCTCTTTGCTGGTTGCTACTATGTCCACTCTTCCTGCTCCAAGAGCTTTGTGTGTGTGTGTATGTGTATGTGTCCTCACCTATTTGTGGTTCCAGGGGTCGATTCATAGCTCCTGGTCCCGCCTCTTCACTGATCGCTACTAGGTCCTATCTCCCCCTGCTCCATGGACTGTGTATATGTGTGTGTGTGTACTCACCTATTTGTGGTTGCAGGGGTCGAGTCTTAGCTCCTGGCCCCGCTACTGGGCCCTCTCTCTCCCCGCTCCATGAGCTTTACAAACCTCGTCTTAAAACTGCGTATGGTTCCTGCCTCCACTACGTCATTTTCTAGGCTATTCCACTGCCTTACAACTCTATGACTGAAGAAATACTTCCTAATATCTCTCTGACTCATTTGTGTCTTCAACTTCCAATTGTGGCCTCTTGTTTCTGTGTCCCCTCCCTGGAACATCCTGTCTTTGTCCACCTTGTCTATTCCACGCAGTATTTTATATGTCGTTATCATGTCTCCCCTGACCCTCCTGTCCTCCAGTGTCGTCAGTGTGTGTGTGTGTGTGTGTGTGTGTGTGTGCATGTATGTGTGTGATTTTCATTCTCCTGAGGTTTACATACCATACTCTTCCTGCAGAGCTTGCAGACTTAGCCTACAAAGCAAAGATAGTTATACCTAACAATTACTTGGAAAGAATTTCATGTACACACACACACACACACACACACACACACACACACACACACACACACACACACACACACACACACCTGCTGACCCACTTTTGGTTGGTGTCCAGCCACGTCCCATCTGTCTGGTGACCTTGTGTGTCCCAGACGTGTATATCATGGGTGACCAGACCCACATTACCTTCACACGGATAGAATGAAAGTGCTGTATCATCCCATAGCAACCCATAGTGGTGATTTATATGGTGCGAAACACTCTGTGGCTTACACCTAGGTGTACACTCCCAGGAAGTGTACTTGTACACCATGGGAACATGATGGAGGGTATGGTTCTCTCTCTCTCTCTCTCTCTCTCTCTCTCTCTCTCTCTCTCTCTCCTCACACACACACACATACTTTCCCTCTCATTCTATTTTTGTAGACGCTTTTTTCATTATTATTATTATTTTTATTATTATTATTATTATTATTATTATTATTATTATTTATTATTATTTTTATTCTCAGTGACAAATTTTGTTCATTAATTCTAACAGGGTTTTATTTATCTTTTCTAAATGTCTACGTGTTTGTTTGTAATTGTCTGCCTGTCATTGTGTGTGTGTGTGTGTGTGTGTGTGTGTGTGTGTTGTGTGTTGTGTTCATGGTCTGCTCCGCCCTCATAACCTCTGCATTTTATCGTAAATTATGGCATAATAAATCTGAATGATGTGTAAATCTGGTCTTATGTGTAGTGATGGTGATAGATGTGGTAGTAGGTGTGGTGATGGTGATAGATGTGGTAGTAGGTGTGGTGATGGTGATAGATGTGGTAGTAGGTGTGGTGATGGTGATAGATGTGGTAGTAGATGTGGTGATGATGATAGATGTGGTAGTAGGTGTAGTGATGGTGATAGATGTGGTAGTAGGTGTGGTGATGGTGATAGATGTGGTAGTAGGTGTGGTGATGGTGATAGATGTGGTAGTAGATGTGGTGATGGTGATAGATGTGGTAGTAGGTATGGTGATGGTGATAGATGTGGTAGTAGGTATGGTGATGGTGATAGATGTGGTAGTAGATGTGGTGATGGTGATAGATGTGGTAGTAGGTATGGTGATGGTGATAGATGTGGTAGTAGGTGTGGTGATGGTGATAGATGTGGTAGTAGATGTGGTGATGGTGATAGATGTGGTAGTAGATGTGGTGATGGTGATAGATGTGGTAGTAGGTGTAGTGATGGTGATAGATGTGGTAGTAGGTGTGGTGATGGTGATAGATGTGGTAGTAGGTGTGGTGATGGTGATAGATGTGGTAGTAGATGTGGTGATGGTGATAGATGTGGTAGTAGGTGTGGTGATGGTGATAGATGTGGTAGTAGGTGTGGTGATGGTGATAGATGTGGTAGTAGGTGTGGTGATGGTGATAGATGTGGTAGTAGGTGTGGTGATGGTGATAGATGTGGTAGTAGGTGTGGTGATGGTGATAGATGTGGTAGTAGGTATGGTGATGGTGATAGATGTGGTAGTAGGTATGGTGATGGTGATAGATGTGGTAGTAGGTGTGGTGATGGTGATAGATGTGGTAGTAGGTATGTTGATGGTGATAGATGTGGTAGTAGGTATGGTGATGGTGATAGATATGGTAGTAGGTGTGGTGATGGTGATAGA